GCACCTGTAGCTGCTTGTAGCCGCAGTGATAGCTCTTGTAGCTACCTGTAGCACCCCCCAACCATATAGCCGCTTGTAGCTTGGCTAAAGACTATATAGCGCTATATAGGTCACTGTAGCGTAAGGTGCGCCTACATAGTGCTACTGTGCCTAAAAAGCGCTATATAGCTGTCGCTCGGGCTACGGCATTTTGGGTTTTTTCCTGATGTGATTCAAGTCAGCTATATATACTTATATTGAACTTCGTTCGAACGTTTGGAGTATTTTGGATTCGATGATTTTGAATTGGCAATTCGAACTTCGAAGACAGTCTCTCGGTCCTCGGACTTCGGGTGGTTGAGGATGGTAATTGGAATGGCAATGACCTTCGAAGTTCTAGACGGGCCCACCAGTTCGTGTTTTAGCAGTGCCAAGACACAATGCATACAGTGTATAGTTCCCGTGTCATGCATGTCATGGATGGTCAAGTTTGTGATGTTCGAGGTTACTTTTGCACGTAGAAGCTAGATCTGGAGATGTGGCGATGACGAACTCGAATGTCACAGCCACGTATGACTAAAAATATTAAGACCATCACACTTATAGCTCACAGCCTGACAGACGCGCGCGCGAGACGATGTTATTTTTAGGTAAAAGTAAACATAGGGTATAGCTATAGGGTAAACATGCTCAAGCGGGCTAGCACATTATGACACGAACACCAAGGACTATCTAAGTAATACAGCTACTGTCAAGGTACAAATGAAAATTACACGAGGATCTCTGTACTTCAAACTATATGAGTGACTGCTTGCTGCGAGCGCGCCATCTCCATGGGAAGCATAGACCGCGTCTCGATCTTACTTGAGAGCTAAGTGAAGTGTAGTTAATGATTATAAATGGGGAGACGGGGAAATATCACCGAATACTTACCAGTGAACCAAGCACGTAAGTCGACCTTCATATCCTCATCAATCTTATCCATCATGGACTGATACGATTCGATGGCTGCTCCAAAACTACCTGCTCGAAGGAGTGCATAACACTGTTGCTGATTCGCAGTTTGCCACAAGGACTTGAGGTCCCAGCCAAATAGCTGTGGAAAACACGCAGTTGAGCACGAATGAAGTGTCGGTTGAGTCATATCAGCGTACCACGACAAATGCATCGTACGTCAAATGAATTGGCGATCTGTAAAAGAAAGTGCTAGCATTGGCAGCGGCAGTGAAGTGTTCAACAGCTTCGTTGTAACGCGCGCCCTGCAATGCAATGTTTCCCAGTTGGACACGTAGGTAGGCCTGATTTACAAAGGACGGGAATCAATAACGACACATGAATCTGGCATGAGTGGGCGAATGGTACTCACTTCCACGATAAGACAAGCAACAGAATCGACATCGGGAGACGCAGCTAGCTCTCGGATGCGAAGGATTGCCTCTTGATGTTCATTTGCATTGAACAACGCAATGGTCTAAAAACCGCAATGAAGCACGCAATATGTAAGAAAAATATTACCTGCCTTGATCAAGAAAAGGAAGTGATCAATCTTTAAATCTCGATTTGTGAACATGGATGCGAGGTCAAATGAGATCCTCGCAGCCAGAACCTGCTTTTTTCCGCAGAGAGCAATGCCCTTGGATATATGGCCTGCCAACGATGGCTGAATGCTGACGGACTATGTCATCAAAGTTAACTTTTGCGAGGAGGTAATGAAGGCTCAGTCAGTCTTACCTGAATTGCGTCTTGAAGTGCTTGGTCCCAGTTGCACTTTCGTGCCATAACAAATGCGCGATTGGCGTAGGCGGTGTGATCATCAGTGTTAACACCAATACTTAGCATCTTTTCAGCGGTAGGCCAGTCCCCAGCTATGCATGCATTGCGGACCGTCGAGTTCATAGCGAGGACCTGCGTAGATCATGTTCACATTGTGTTATAAGAGTCAAAAGTGGGAACATGCCTTGAAATCAGAGTAGGCTTGAGCCTTGGCATAAAAAGACGTTTAGATGATAAACGGGCGAGAAAATGAAAACAAACGTACTGTGTGTGTCACCTGCTCTTTCATGAGGCCGTCTTTTGATCCATCCTCTATCAAAGCATCCTCGGATGTTGGCCACTCTGAGATCTTTTGATCCACACCTCCACTGAGGACGTGCTTGCCATTCGCAGAGAATGTGACGCAGTTCACCTCCCCAGAGTGCTTGAATATGGCAATGTTTTTTCGATCTGAGAGTCGCCAGAGGCGGACACGGTTGTCATGAGATGCGGAGGCAAGGAGAGTACCGCTAGAGTTCACAGAAATGGCGTGGATATTCTTGAAATGGCCTTTCCAGGGCTCACGGACCTGCTGCCAGGTCGATGTATCCCACTCTCGTATTGTGGGATTAGCTCCGTTGCCTCCTGAGAAAAGCCGTGTGCCATCTGGCATCCATGTGAGTGAGTAGTTTAATCCTCCACCGATCGTTTTCAGTAAGTAAAATGTATTGTAATAATCACTGCAGCCCTGGTAAATTTGGATATGGTCGTCTGTTGCAATCGCAAGATAATATCTATGCATCGAATACCGAACACAGCGGACGTTTCCACCACAGCTGATTGAACATCGGGCCTCCTTCAAGAATTGTGGGTACCATATTTTCGTGGTGGTGTCAGATGATCCACTGGCCAACGCATCGTAGCCGAAATCTGAAGCAAAATCAAGTGAAAATATGCAGCCGTCGTGGGCTTTATTGACTGTTTGGCTGAGTTCCCCAGTTTTTCCATGCCACATGATGAGCTCTCCGCTCTCATCGCCGCTTGCTATCCATTGCCCATCTCGTGAAACAGCCAACGCCCGTACTCGACTGCGATGCCCCTCCATCTTCTTCAACACTGCACCTGTTTTTAAGTCCCATAGACGAAGCACCCCGTCATACGAGCCCGTGACCATGCGTTCGTCGTAGCTATATTGGGGACTGAGAATCGCGACTGCGACCACGCGATCCCCATGATCTTCAAATGCTCGAATGGGTGTAATTTTTGGAATGAGCGCCGCCATTTTAGTGGAGCCGCAGCACAGTTGAGGTGGGCTTGGTATGTGGGGGAATAGTGTCTTTTTCGAGATTGCAGAGGTGCCGGTTGTCTGATGGGGTGTTCTAAACCTGTTTTATAGCATTAACCCCTCAATAGACGCCCAAAACATGAGGCTATTATCATAAGCACCTTGTTTTCAAATATAAACGAATGGGCTCGTATGTCCAAGTTGTGTCACCGCAATTTTCTACATAAGTCAATGAGCCTGACCGTAATTGTTTCAGGGGTCCATGCGGCAGATAGGAAGAAGACACACGCGGTTCATCCAATTCACTCCGTGGAACGTTCGTAGTGGAGATCCTACAGTTGTGAGGCTTCCTTCGGATCTCTGGTTGTTGGGGTTATTAACATCATGGATGGTTGATTTGCCAATTAGCATTGAATCATTTCAAACTCTGATTATCGATTATCGATGGTCGAACAGGTATTTTCTATTCATCCCAAGTCAGCTGTGAATCATCGAGTGAAAGTGCTAGACCAGGGATGGCCTGGGTGTGTCCTTCAAAGGGGGCTCCAATAGTCTCCAGAGTAGGTACGTCGAATTCATAAACTGTCTTGATTGAGGTGTCCGCGTTGAGCTGAATGCGATTACGATGGTTTTGTCTTTGCTAGTCCAAAACACGTGTGTCATAACGGCTACCTCCGAGGTTCCCCGTGTGAACATGTGATCGGACATCCTACACTTCAAGGTAATTCCCCCAAGATGATATGACTGGCATTGACTGCGACCTTCTAGCTCCCTGAAAAGTTGAAGTCCCCACCTGCAGAGACCGCAGACAACCCATCGACTATCCCTCGATACGGTAATACCCCCACAACATGTACCTCCTGCTCACAAATATCCCGCGCCTCCTCGACTTCCTTGCCCGCTTCTAGGTCCCATTCACGAGCGGTCTTATTGTTTGACCCGCTGATTATTCGCTTCCCGTCCGGAAAGTAGGATATGGCTGAAACAATGTCCCCTAAGGTCAACACGGGTGTCAGAGACTCAGAGTCAATTCTTTTACTGCACAACGGGCCATGAGGATCTCGAAGCCGGTCTACCAGAGAGCATAGCAAAGTAATATGGGTAAGAAGTATTCGAAGGACCGTCGGTGAGGCTTTCTCGTATCCTGTGGCCTGATATGGACTTGCTTAGGCACAAGTTCTTCCATTCGACGCATCAAGAACAAATGGACGAGTCCTTGCAATCAGTGTGGTTCACCAAATCAGCAATTTCGCAGGTCGACCTCCTTACGAGTCTGAATAGGGTGGCGCCTCGATTTGTCATGAATCATGTATGCAGTCTTCCGCATGTGAATTATTACGCTGTTATGTTCTCACTGTAGCAAGCATCTAGGAAACTGCTATAGACTACCTACTGCACAACGATCTTGCAAAGTATGTAATGAACTACACTCACGACGCAACGAAGCAACATTTCGAGCAGAGAGCGAGAACATGTATGACGTGGACAAACAAAGAATGATATAGTGCCAATATAGCGTACAGGCATTTGTTTTTGGAATAAATACAATTTCTCTGTGCAACGACCGGAAGTCACGGTAGCGCGGAAGCACGTCAGGAGCCATCCATCGACTCGTAGTGTGTAACCTCACTCTACTGTAGCGGAATAGCATTGTCACACTATTTAGCTATACGATATCAGCTCGGAAACCCGGCTTGGGATGTCCATCTTTCGATGTGGTGTTTAGTGGGGATTGAGGCATGCACATACAAATCACGGGGACACGTTAGACACGATGTACACAAGTAACTACAGCATTCTCATAGCATGCTGCAGGAGATGTTTGGTAGTAAGCCTACGTTTACAGTATAGGTACTAGTACCCTGTGACTGTGCCTCGTTTTGTTGGTTGCACTGCTAACAGACTGTTGAATGCAATTAAAGAATCAAGGGGATCCAGACAGCAAGTAATATTCATTCCAGATCGTCAAATCAGCTCCCTCCGTCGATGGGCGGTCCCGAGGATTGGTAGACCAGCATTCCTCAATAAACTGCCAGTATCGTTCGCGGAGCTTAGGATAACGAGATCGGGAAGGTCTTTGCGACTTGGCTATGCAGAGAATGATGGTAGCATCATTTGTGAGGTGATAGTAGGGTGCTTTGTTGGTGAGGACCTACGAGTGGAGCCCGTGATATAAACGAGAGGCCAAAATAAACCAGACGTACCTGCAGCATGATGCCGCCAAATGAATACATGTCGCTCTGCTCACTCGGCCGGACTTGAGATCCATCCTCTCGTTCAATGAGCAGCTCAGGAGCCATCCATCGCATGTTTCCTTTCAGCGTGGACGTCCAACAAGCCTGAGAGGCGCTTATAACTTCGGAATACATCAAGGAAAGACCAAAGTCAGCGACACACGCAGTGCCATCACCATGAATCAGCACGTTGGGCTAGAACTCACGTCTCGATCAAATCAAAATTAACGAAAAGGGGTCGAATTTACCCCAGTAAAGTCACCATGAACGACACTGTTTGCATGAACTGGGAACAATATCACTACTCCAGGTCAAGGACCGAGAATAACTAACACGCACGATATTGCAGACCAGCTATGATATCCTTGAGCTGAGATTGCCATCAATATGTGGTCTGCATAAAATATGAGGGGATACTTACGATCTGGAATCTTCTGACGAGAGTAAGAGCCGCGCCCTCGAGCTCCAAATAGTCCGATAGGTTATCATTCTCCGCCCAAGGACTGACTATCGCTATAAATGGGCCAAACCCATACGTATAACCATAAACGGATAGAATATTTGGATGCTTGAGGTTAGCGCATATTCTGAGTTCACGCATTATCCTCTACGAAGTCGCAGCTCATAAGGGGAAGACACAGTCTTTTGTCAAGAAACTCACCTTGATCTTCTTCGTCTTTGCGGGACCAAGTTGATCGGCGGCGTACACTTGCAATGCCTTCACTGCGACCTACCAGATTATTAATTTAGACAGATGGACAGACAAAAGACAGTGAACAAACTTTGATTAATCTACGATTCATGTGGCAGGTGCATTTCCAGATCTCCCCGAACCCGCCACGAGCAACAGGATATTCTTCGTCCTTTGTGACATATCCCGTGAGGTTTTGGAGCATCGCTTCGAGGGGGAGATCGCGAGGCTCATCATTACGAGCGGAGAAGACTGTATTCGTATGGGAAGAGGAGGGAAGGAGCTCGCGAGAGTCGGGAGGTAACTGGGGTGGCCGCGAACCTACTATAGAAGAGGGTATCTGCGGTGGAGGGGAAAGAGCTATGACAGGTGATATTGTTGTACTTAGGAGATCTGCCGGTCCTCCGTTGAAATGTAGTGTGTCCCGATGCAATGGTTGGGATCCTAATTCATAATGTTGCCCCAACATCTTATCAGGCGATGATTGCATGTCAGCAGGCCGCTGCCGCATGTCAGTAGATGGTCGCATGTCGGTAGGCTGTATGCGAGAGGTTTCGGCGTGTCTGTTAATCCAGGATTCGGACCCTGGTCGACGACTCGGACGGGCGAAACTGATAGAGGGAGGTGGTAGAGAGTAGAGAGGGAGGCGCTCTTGCGCATCTGGTAGGGCCTCGCTAGATCGATTCACGGCGTGAGAGAGCGTGCCAGACTGCAAAAAGGGGATTAATAGAGTGGTATAAATGAGAAGTAAGGGATGAGTACATCAGCGAGGAATAGGTTTCTAGAAGAAACAGTCTGCAAGAAAATGTAAGCACGTGAACGATAGTACTATTCGGGGTTAGCTGCGCACTCTATCTTGTGGTACTGGCTGGATGTTAGCGAGGATCTCAGGGGGAGTATTGCATAAGTAAATGTTGTTGCCAAACAGTGACGCAGTGGTGTAAACTAATTGGCGCGAGTCGGGCGAGAAAAGAAGGTGGCAGATGGTAGAACAACTATCAAATGAGGCGAGGAGCTGGCGGGACTCAAAGGCCCAAAGCTTGATGGTGTTGTCCTGAGCAGCACTGGCGAGGAGAGCATGATCGAGTGAAAGTGCTATACTGGTGATGGTTTGGGTGTGTCCTTCAAAAGGGGCCCCGGTGTTCTCCAGTGTAGACACGTCAAATTCATAGATCGTCTTGACTTGAAATTGGGCAACTTCAAAGCTGAATGCGGTTACGATGGCTGTGTCTTTGGTAGTCCAAAACACTGGCACACCTCCCAAACCCCAGTCACCTTCTCTGTAAACAACCAATCTCTGTGATTGGACATCCCACACTTCGAGGCGGCTCCCCCCATTTGACTTGAGTGCGAGCTTTTTTGAGTCTTGCGAGAATCGGATTGCGTCCACCCAGTTGATACTTTTAAATGGACCAGCTACGAGATTGCATGTTTCCAAGCTCCATATCCGTGTTGTACCATCCAATGACCCACTCGCTAGTAGTGTGCTGTCCCCAGAGATATCGATGCAGTTAATACCACTTGTCAGTTCGAATGTTCTCACGGTTCCCGTCTCAACCTCACGGACTTTGAGTTCCCCGCTGTAATCCCCACCTGCAGAGACAACCCATCGACCGTCCCTTGATACCCCCACAGCATGTACCTCTTGCTTACAAACATCCCGCGCCTTCTTGATTTCCTTGCCCGCTTCTATGTTCCATTCACAGATGGTCCTATCGCATGACCCGCTGATTATCCGCTTCCCGTCCGGAAAGTAGGATATGGATCGAGTAGTAATGTATTTGTGGCCCCTTAAGGTCAACACGGGTGTTAGAGTCGATTCATTTACTGGCACAACGGGCCATGAGGATCTCGAAGCCGGTCTGCCAGAGAGCATAGTGAAGTAATATGGGTAAGAAGTATTCGAAAGAGCGTTGAGGAGGCTTTCTCGTATCCTGTGGCCTGATAGGATACCTAAGTCGTTCGAAGGTGCTGATACACTTTGCCCGCTGAAGCTGATCGTCAACTCATCAACACTGACAGTCCAGATTGGTTTGAGCTTACCTCGTATAAGCTGGTAACTTGTGAGAAGAGCGAGCAAATTCACTGCTTGACAGAATGTGCTCGCAACTTCTTGTATTTCCCAACACGCTCCTTCGGCATGGCACCTGTGCATTGCACAGCGTTCGCTTTTATCCGCTGCCTCATGTCCACCAAATCTAGTACTTGGTTAAGCACAAGTTATTGTCACGGTTATTCGCCCCACTCAATTCTTAGGCTGGTACTTAATATGAGTCTTGACCGCATGGAAAATAAACTAAAGTGAAATCGAGCAACCCAAACTGTTTGTTCGACGAAGGCGTCACTAAGCTTGTTATAATGTACATTATGTGGCAGGGGACCATACGTACACGATGCTGTGAATCCATCATGTGACACGAGCACCAAGGGCTATTTGAGCAATACAGCTACCGTCAAGATACAAATGAGAACAACTTGAATATCTGTGTTTCCAACTATGCGAGTAACCGCTCGTTACGAGCGCATCATCTCCATGGGAAGCATAGACCGCGTTTCGATCTTACTGGAGAGCTGAATGAAGTGCAGTTGATAATTATAGACGATAAGACGTTACCGAATACTTACCAGTGAACCAAGCACACAACTCGACCTTCATATCCTCATCAATCTTGTCCATCATGGACTGATACGATTCGATGGCTGCTCCAAAACTACCTGCTCGAAAGAGTGCAAAACACTCTTGCTGGTTCGCAGTCTTCCACAAGGACTTGAGGTTCCAGCCAAAGAGCTGTGGAAAACACGCAGTTGAGCACGAATAAAGTTTAGGTTGAGTCATATCAACATACCACGACAAATTCATCGTACGTCAAATGAATTGGTGATTTGTAGAAGAAAGTGCTGGCATTGGCAGCGGCAGTGAAGTGTCCAACAGCTTCATTGTAGCGCGCACCCTCCAAGGCGATATTTCCCATTTGGACCCGTAGGTAGGCCTGGTGTACGAAGGGCAGGAATCAATAACGACGCATGAATCTGGAATGAACGAGCGAATGGTACTCACTTCCACTATACGACAAGCAACAAGATCGACATCGGGAGACGCAGCCAGCTCTCGGATACGCAGCATTGCCTCTTGATGTTCATTTGCATTGAACAACGCAATGGTCTAAAAATCGCAGTGGAGCACGCAGTATGTGAGAAAAATATTACCTGCCTTGATCAAAAACAGGAAGTGATCGGTCTTCAAATCGCTCGTAAACATGGATGCGAGGTCAAATGATATCCTCGCAGCCAGAACCTGCTTTTTTCCACAGAGAGCAATACCCTTGGATATATGGCCTGCCAACGATGGCTGGATGCTGACGGACTATGTCATCATTGAAGTTAACTTTTGTAAATAGGTCATGATGGGTCAATCAATCTCACCCGAATTGCGTCTTGAAGTGCTTGGTTCCAGTCACACTTTCGCGCCATAACAAATGCGCGATTGGCATATGCGGTGTAATTGGCATTCGAGTCAATATCCAGATTTAGCACCTTTATAGCGGTAGACCAGTCCCTAGCTGTGCACGCGTTGCGGACTGTCGGGTTCATAGCGACGACCTGCGTAAATCATGTTCACATTGCGTTATAAGAAGAATCAAAAGTGGGAACGTGCCTTGAACTCAGAGTGGGCTTCAGCCTTGACATGAAAAAGACGCTTAGATGATTAATTGGCGAGAAAATGAAACAAACGTACCTGATGCGTCCCCAGTTCCTTCATGAGGCCATCCTGTAAAGCATCCTCTGGCAAAGCATCATCGGATGTTGGCCACTCTGAGATTCTTTTATCCAAACCTCCACTGAGGATGCGCTTGTCATCCGCAGAGAACGTGACGCAGTTCACCTCTCCAGAGTGCTTGAATATGGCAATGTTTCGTCGATCTGAGAGTCGCCATAGGCAGACACGATTGTCATGAGATGCGGAGGCAAGGAGAGTGCCGCTAGAGTTCAAAGAAATGGCGTGGATGTTCTTGAAATGGCCCTTCCAGGAAGCACCGACCTGTCTCCAGGTCGATGTATCCCACTCTCGCATAGTGGGATCTGTCTCATCCCCTCCCGAGAAAAGCCGTGAGCCATCGGGCGCCCAAGCGAGTGTGTACTCGGATCCTTCACCAATCGTTCTCATCGATTGAGTGGGGAATGGAGGTGGTGGTGTGTGATTGCGACTGTAGGAAACGTTATTATATCCGTTTGAAGTGTAATTCTGGTAAATTTGGACACCGTAGTGGTGCGTTGCAATTGCAAGAAGCGCTTGGGAATTGCCTATCGGCCGTGGCGAATACTGAACGCAGCGGACAGGTCCACCGCAACTGAGTGTATGTTGCACCTGCCATGTCGATGTATTCCACAACTTCGTGGTGGTGTCAGATGATCCACTGGCCAGCATCCTGGAATCCGAAGAAAAGTCAAGCGAGAATATCCAGCTGTCATGGGCTTTATTGAGTGCTTGGTTGAGTGATTCCCCAGTGTTTCCATGCCAGACAATGATTTCTCCGCTCTCATCACCGCTTGCTATCCATTGCCCATCTGGCGAAATAGCCAATGCGCGCACCCGACTGCGATGCCCCTCCATCTTCTTCAACACTACACCTGTTTTCAAGTCCCACAAACGAAGCATCCCGTCATACGAGCCCGTGACCATGCGTTCGTCACGGTCGCGGAAAACTGCGAGTGCGATCACGCGATCCTCATGACCTTCGAATGTTCGAGTGGGTGTGATGTTTGGAATGAGCGCTGCCATTTTAAAGCTGCAGCACAGTTGAGGAGGATTTTGTGTTTGGGCGATAGGTCTTGCTCGAAGTCGCACAGGTGCGAGTGATGGGGTATTCTAAACCTGTTTTATAGCGTTACGCCCTCGCCGGACGCTAAAAACATAAGGGGGTTATCATAAGTACCTTGCTTGCCAATCAAAACAAATAGACTCGCGCGTCCAAGTCGTGTCGCCGCAATGTTCCACATCAGTCAACGGGCCTGGTCGCAATTGTTTCAGGGGTCCATGCGGCAGATAGGAAGAAGACATACACAGTTCACCCAATTCGCCTGATTGGCCATGCCCTCGAATTTTAATTAGATCATCACCCAAAGACGTAGTATTCCACCCGGTGACATGTTGAGCTTCTGTTCCTCAAACGTTCGTAGCGGAGATCCGACACTTCCTTTGATCTGCTCTGGTTGCTAGCATCATGGGTATTCGCGATTTCCCATTAGCATTGAAGATAATCAATCATTTCAAACTCTGATTCAAGTCAGCTGTGATTGAACGTTGGATTATCTTGGATTCGAGGTTTTGGATCGGCAACTCCAAAACATGTTGTTTCTTAGATTTCTGGTGATTGAGGATGGCAGTTGGTATGGCGATAATCTTTTAGATGGGCCCACCAGTTCGTGTTTCTGTTCTAGCTGCGTCTAGTACACACAATTCTATATTGAACCATTATGTATGTTGCATTTAGGCTTCTCAACATAATACACATTGCCACATACCATATGTAGTTCCCGTGCTATGGATGGTCAAGTCTGTGATGTTAAATCATTCTACACAAAGGTATGTGAGACATGGTTGAGCGCGGTGAAAGAGATACTTACACGTCATACATGCTAATACTGGTCGACGGCGAAGGTTCTTCTGGCATTGGATGCAACTGCTGACATCCCGAGGTTAACCTAGATTTGGACTAAAGTCTTACTCGAGATGACGTCCGCATCATTTAGCGTTTGCTTCGCGTCAGTGATGTTGTTGTTATACAACACAACTAGGACAACTCGCCAGGGCCAGGAGAAGTGTCTGCCACCCTGAATATATTAGCAATAAGACATCATGAGAGGGTGGAATCATATTAACAGCTAGCACTTGAGCGTGCAAGGAGGAAACGGAGGGAAACACCGAATAAGAACGTTCTTGACAGGACTGCTGATTAGGTGGAAATGGTGGACAGCGGGTCTGCATCATAATAGATATGGCATGTGCGTCGCTCGCGCTAGCGAGTTGAAATATATTCCAAGTCTCGACCCCACACATTTGCTCGCAGGACCTCAAATTCATCTGACTTTGGAAGTAATACGCCATAGGCCGCACACACCCAATGCAAATGAGATGTTCAGGGACGCGAGAGCTACGAGTAGGAATGAGAGGTTTAGCGTTAGTGACTTGAGTAGACTGTCGAATGCAACTTGCCCACTTCACCAGCGTCAAAACGAGAGCCTGAGGTATATGTAAGCGTGGATTTGAGAAAGGAAGCGACCAGTGGGGGCCGCCAGTACTTGTGAGAAATGGATCGAGAGGGCGGACAGAGTAGCGTCAATAAGAAAAAAACTGCTCGGAGTCGTAACAGCGGTACTTGAGCATATAGTGTGATATGGGCTAATCGAACGATCACGCTTAAGGACCGCCGCATGAGAACACCTTCAATTACTCGTTTAGCAAAAAATTTGCATTGGTGTGTTTGGCGATCTCTGCGGTAGTAACGATATCTGAAACGGCCGTCGCTCACCTCGAGGGACAAGGGAGAGGTTGGGACGAGGTATTTATAAGTCAACGAGGATTTAAAACCCAGCCATTGATGCAGAAGGGAAATCATCTGGTCTCACATCGTGTGATCCTAGAGTTTCTGCAAGAAAACACGTTTCAGACAGCATGGTACGAGCTATATTTGTCATTGTTTGGTGTGCAGGCCGTTGCCCGTGTGCTGCACGCGTTGACCTCGAGGAGCAGATTATATTGTCTAGATATCGTTTCTACCGTCCTTCTTTTGTTTCATTATCTACCACCTAAGTATTTTAACCGAAAGACTCAGATCAACGCTCTATACGATGGTCTTCAGTCTTTTCACTCGCAAGTCCGATTCATTACCCAACGCACAACTACATACACCCTCTCCCTCACTTTCACACACTGACTCACCAGTAGCCCTCTCGCCCACACCACCACCCACTACCGAGACAGAGCCCGAGACAGAGGTAACAGACCCAACCGCCTTGTATGACCTCGTACGCTCTGTCCCTCCCCAGACCCTACACACATACACCCTCGCCCACCTCTCCCCGACCTCCGATCCCCCACTGATGCCCCCCTCCCCACGTACACTCACTGCCCTTACCCAGTTCTTCCACGAACTCTCCCCGCCGCCACAACTCCATTGCGTGCGCTGCCACTCCTCTTTCTTTGAACTTTCAAATACAGACACGTCTTGCCGCATTCCACATGATGATGAAAGCGCACTCGTCGATCGTGCTGCGTATGAGACCTTGTGGTGCTGCTGTGGAAGCAGTGTCGAAGGGACGGGAGATATGGGTCCCCCGGATGGGTGGTGTTATGAGGGAAGACACACAGTGAGTATTATCTCGTGCTTTGCAATTCAAAGACTGATTTCAGATATAGACAGACACCAGGCGTGCGCGTTTCCGCGCAGATTCTACCATCCACGACGATAAACTATTTTCTTGCGCCGCGACGGGATGTCACGGCCGTAAACGCAAGCGGAGCGTATCCATCTCTGGCAGTGACCTGAGTGCCAGCATAAGGAAGAAAGACAAAGCCAAGGCAATCGCAAAAGCAAATGTCGATGCTTCACCCAAGTCAACTCCCAAGCCCACTTCAAAAACATCCACGCCCAGGCCCACACCCAAACCCCTCTCCAAATCCGGCTCATTCATATCCTCAGTTACCCTCGTCCATCCGAGACCTAAATCTAACCTCCACAAGTCTCACGTCGCATCACCAACCGTAGATGCCGTTTCCGAATCTGAAACCGACCCACAACCGAATATCCCTATCCGTCCTACTCGAGAACGCACAAGAACGCGCTCTACTGTAGACGAACAAAAGACCCGCCTTACTGCAGACGACAAAACGCGCCCTCCTACTGACGAGAACATGAGTAAACCACGTACGCGGAGCGCAGCACGGGAAGAGCGTAGTCTTTCGCGCACGAGAATGATCGTGAGAGGCGGTTCTGTGCGTGTGCTGCGTGAGCGCGGGAGGGAAAAGGAGAGTGAGAAGGGTATATGTGAGTCAGATGGGGATGACAGGGGACGAACCAGGGGGAGGGAGGTGAAGAAGAGAAGGGTGGGTGTATGAGTCAAATCTTGCATGTCAGATGTCAGGTGTATGTTGTGTGGATGGGACTGGATGGGTGTGAATGACATATTATACTACTATTATTCTGGTGTGTCCCTTGTTTAAGTCAGTGCGATGACACTGACGAGTACGGCGCTGGCAGTCGATATAACCTTCTTTTGTATGCTACTACCCCACTATATCTGGAGATTCACAATCTGTATCCATCCTAACTTAATCGCTGTACCAGACTGCTAGGAAGCAATCTTGTATCTCTACCCACATGAAATCTGATGATTTGAATATCTAGAATCGGTAAACCCTCTAGATCTCCCCATCCATATGAAACAACTAGAACGGGCTCACCATCTTAAGACATGTCTACAAGCGTCTCTCTAATCCTTGGTCACCACCGTACACCACGGAAAGGTACAGATTACACTTTCATACCAATAACCTCCCTCAGGCTCCACCATTCGTCCCAGACGTCCCTACATTCTGTACCCATCTCAAACCAGAAAAAGAAAGAAAAGGTATAATCTCATCCGCTGGGAAGGAACAGGATACTAGGAGTCCAACGAATATAGCTATGCGTCATCGATGAATATGCGAGCTGCCAAATCAAGCTCAAGGTTAAGGGTGCTTCGCCGCTTCCATAGGCTTCTGCAATTCAGTAGATTTAGCACCGCGGTATATTGGCAATATTATTTAATGTTACATAAGGAGTCTTTTTGTAGAAGTAGCCTACCTATTTCAATTCAACTGCGTCGTGCTGGAACGCTAGGAACTGCATCAGCGAATTCTGGATAGGTTTGGGAGGAGGTACTGTGACGTCATCCCGCTTCCTGCTCGCCATCATCATTATAGACTGGCCCTGTTTCTTCTGCGTTTTCTGGAAACAATGATATGCAGAACGAAATGTCAATGGTATTTATATGCTGAAACGTCGAACATTTCAGCATACAGGGCAGCCAAAGTACAAGTTCAAAACACCAAAGGCTACATAACAAAGTAAGTAAACGACAAACAGTCTGCTATTCTCACCGCAAATCAATTTCCACCGTCTCGCCAACTTCCTCCTCGCCATCCTCAGATTCCACGAAACTCTTCCGGATCTCTTTCTCCACCGGAGGAGGGGGAGGAACTTCTACGCTAGATGGCACGACTACCGCCACGGGCGTCAAGTCATCTTCATTCGTATGGTTCGAACCTGCTTCATGCTCGGGCTTCGGAGCATGTGGTTGCGTAGGAAGAGAGGGTACGGGTGGCACTACTTGAGCTTGAGTTGGTGACGTCGGAAATTTGAAATTCCTATCCATCGTACCGTTGCTCTTGTGCTTCATTTCAGAGGGAGACGGTTTCGGTGGGGGCGCTTGCTCCTCCTCGTCCTCTTCCTCATTGATCGGCCCTTGTGTGGTTGCCGACGGTGGTGTAGGACGGCGTATTGACGGGAGACTTTGACGCGATGCCGAGTTTTTATGAGCTGCGCTGGAGCTGGGGAGAGAGGCTTGTGACATCGATTGGGGACGCTGGGAGTAGCCAGAATTGGGCGGGGTGACCCCGAGATAGTAGCCCGAGATCGGCACCATTCTGAACATAAAAACTGTCAACGAGAAGCGTTATGAATAGAACAAACGAACTTTTTTTCGCTGTGGCACGCTAAAATCCACTGCGGTTGAACCACAGGGATGCTCAACTGCAAGGCACGTTGATATTCTGCACCTGGAGCTGCTGCAACACCACCGGCTGGTTGCGCACCTGCGGGCGTGACTGCAGGAGTAGTGCACACGAAATGCGTCGTATCGATTTGAATTTTGTCGCTCCACTTTGCGCGCATCTCTTTCAAAGCAAGCTTTGCATTTTCCAGCAACACGCTGTCTGTGACATTTGCGAAGCAAACTGAAATTCCGCTTGTATCTGCAATTGTGTGCGTGCGCACGCGGATGAGGTTCGAAGGATAGGTTCCTGCGGAAGTACGGAGGAGGAGTTGAAAAGTGTATTGGGTATCTACGGAGAGTCCAGAAAGTTTTGTGGAGTAGTTGGTGAGTGCATTAGGAATCGAGGCAAGGCGTTGGCTGTTCTTGTATATGTCGAGGGAACGTAACTTCGCATTAGCGAGCTTAATGGGGGGCCATTCGAGCGTGACAGAAGTTTGGGTGACATTACGGACCTGAAAATAGTGGTGTGAGCGAGGTGGACTGAGATAAAGTGGGTGCTGCTCACCTCGAGCTGCGGATTCTCAGGCGAGTGACTTCCAAATGTCTCTAAGATATCTTCTTGGAGCGACCAGAACTCGTGATCTCGCTTTCGCTCCTGAGCCACGTTCCGGTGGACCGAGATGTTGACTATAGACCCAGTTGTTGCTCCAGGAGGAAGTAGTACCGATGGAAACTCTATTAGGTGAGCTCGGTCGCCCAGAAGGATCTGCACCGCGTCACTTCATATTTGGGTGACGTACTGAACTTCAAGTTGGACTTACAGCCATGCCCGCATCTGGAGTTAATATTATGAGTCTTATGAACGCGTCAAGTGCCAGTCACTTACCGAGCTTTCCGACCGTAAAAGTGAAACTATCCTGCGCTCTCGCCATGGTTGCTTGTCACGGTGAACAGCGTTGAGAAAGTTGGAGCGCTGAAGGTATGGGTTAACGTGGTCCGTCGTGGCTGTGCAATATTATTTCGATTCCCTTATTGGGTGATAACGTCACAGATTTGGTGAACCTCACTTTTCGCGCCTGTTGCATATTTTCTTTTGTGCCCGCCAGCTCTCTATCCTTTTCTCGCTGCCTGCCCGGTAATGACCATTGTGATGTCTTCGTCGCAACAGGCCGATGTTGCCTTTTTTTTTCAGCTTCTCTCTGCATTGATCGGCAATTTGCATCGTTCTTGAATCTTGATCATCTGTGCAGGCTGCGGCGTTGCTATTCGTAATTCCTCTTTCGATCTGTTGCGGCAACTTGGACGGATACTCGGGCAAGCCGATGTGGCAAAGGTATGTCCTCACTGTGTGGTTAGAACAACACAGTCTATAATGGCTTATTTGATCCATCAAATATATTATAACTACTGCACAAGTACAAGTGGGATACATTCACGGTTTGAGGCATTGTGTACTTTCAAAATGCTCCCAAGGTTCATGGAAGTAGGTCCTTGGCACTGCAGACAGTGACCAGGCGTGTCATTCGGTCCTCTGCGTCACACCTCACTGTGCGTGGGACGCCGAGTCGTCGGCATCTTTCGTCCCAGACCGGCTATTTCCTCGATAACGTAGCCCTTGTCATGCCAAAAACAGTGAGCAGGCGTATCATTCAACCCTCTGCGTTGCTCCTTATGTGTGGGACGAAGTCTGGGCCAAAGTACGGGCTGAGTCTGGGGACGCCTATCGGCATCTTTCATCCCAAACGGTTCGGCCGTTTCAGATACCCCTCAATAACGTAGCCCTTATCAAGTCTAACTTCCTCTGATTAGGCGCCCGTGCCTGCCACACGTGCTTGCATAGAGATAATAAAAGCTAGGTCCGCTGGAGCCGAATCCTTCCCTGGATTCTTCTGCACACCCTGACCAGCACTCAGACGTCTCTGCCTTGAGTTCTCCAGGCATAGCACTATTATGTCGCATGTTTCCACGTCTTCAGTAACCAAAGAACAGCCGTCACCTGCTGCCAATCCCAACCCACGCTCTGTATTCAGCGTCGTACGACAGAAAGTGACTACGAAACATGGCTGGTTTGGTGACTATGATTATCGATGGCTCTGTCTACCATCTCTTCCTACAGCTAGAAGCAAACAACCGCCATTTTATGGCATCGATGATGAACTCCCGCTCGTGCTGGCTATAACAAGCGGGTTGCAGCATGCACTTGCGATGCTTGCAGGTCTCATTGCACCGCCCATCATTCTTGCCAGTGCCTTGATGCTGGACTCTGACACATCATCCTACATGATATCAGCTTCACTCATTGGGTCTGGTATGTCTAACGAACCTACACTCATGCAGAACTGATTTAGGAATCAGGCATTCTAAGTTTAGTACAAATGTCACGCATAAAGTTATGGGGCCGCTATTATCTCGGTACTGGGCTTTTGTCCGTGGTCGGGACGAGTTTTGCTACGCTCAGCACAGCAAGTGCCGTATGCGCGCCTGCATTCTATATGTGTAACATTATTTGATAAGGTGGATAAACGCAGATTTTCAACATGATGTACGCCAACGGCACATGTCCTTCGACAACTGCTGCAGATGGCACTGTCACGCGAGGTCCGTGCCCAGATGCTTATGGGATGCTACTTGGTAGGTCGATCTTGAGTTCCCAGCAATATCTAAGTTACTGACGTTATGAAGGCACTTCCCTTATCTGTGCCTTTTTAGAGATCGGATTGTCGTTTCTTCATCCGCGGATTTTGCAACGGA